TGTTTTCATAGCTTGTTTTGCCATACTTGCAACTGTTTTTGAGCTTAACATATAACATAGAAGTGTCTTGTTTTTATCTACCCTAAATAGTTTCTTAAGGGTGTTTTAAGCTTTGGGGTTGTTTGACCCCTCTTAAGGCTTGTTTGGCCCTTGTTTTGTGCCATTTCGGTTGAGCTCCGAGACCTTTGTGTTTGGGCCTCCTCACCACTGAAATCGGTGCCTTGAGGTCCTAAGAAGGAAAGGGCCACCCCCTCTCCTTGTTGTCCTTGAAAAGGGCCATTTTTGCCTCTTGAGGGAGCATCTTGTTTAAGTGTATGTTGACCATACTTTAACTAATTTTTGTGCTTATTATGTCATAATATAGCTCTGTTTTCAGTTGGTTTGGACACACCTTGCATGTCTTGCATACATGTCTTGTAATGCCACATTTTTACCTTAACATGCTTTAGGTGTAGACCCTTGTTCTAGCATGATTTAGGCTTAGCTTCGTGAAGCTTACATGCATATTTTGATGTGCTAAGGGACTGTTTTAGGTCATTTGAGTCATTCATGTCTTGCTTTGTATAGCTACCATGCAATCCATCTTGAATGCCTTAAGCTTTGGCCTCTCTAGCATGCATTACTTGCATTGTTTCAGTGGTTTGGAACCACTTACCATGTTATTTCAGTCCTTATAACATGCTTGTATGCTTGCCTTTGACTTGCCTTTGATGCCTCTTTGATGCCTTATGAGGTTGTGCCTTGTGCTCCATGTTTGGTCATTGCGCATGCCCTTGAATTTAAGTCATTTAGATGCCATCCAAGTGGTCTTTAGGCTTTGTTTTAATATGTTAAAACTCTGTTTTGATCATTTAATTCATGTCATGTTTGGTTTTGCTAAGGGTAGTTCAATACCTCCTTAGCTTGCCTCAAGTACTTGGACCATTATTGCATGCTTTGCTTATTTTGATTACTTGGTTTGGCACCTCTCTTTCATGCAATTTCAGAGCTTATGATACATGCCATATGCCCATGTTTGTCCTCCTTTAAGTGTGCTTAAAGGTTGCTTATTTGATGCTTAAGTGTTGACCTATCAACATGTACATGTGTGTGTGTGTGTTGGCTCTCATTTCCATAGCATTAGCCACTGTTTTAGGCTTGTTTAAGGGCTGCCTAATTTATTTTAAGTCCACCCTTTGGCATGTTGTTGCATGCCTAGCTTATGACATGTTGTTGCATGTTGAAATGATGTTGCATTTGGCACGTATTCTCCTCTTTGTTTTGGTTGCTTAACATGCCATATGTTTTGCATACTTGTGTGTTGACATTGTGCCTTGTATGCTCATTTAACTTGCATGCTTGTTATATGCCTTGCATGCTTCCCATATGCTCATGTTACATGCCTAGTTGATATACTTAGGTTGCATTGCATTTGCATGCATCTTTCACCTCTTGATCAAGCCATGATAGAGGTTGAAAGCCCCTCTGTTTACTTATTTGCATTGCATTTCATTTAAAATTAAAGTGCATACTTGGTTTCTTGGGCCATCATGCATTGAAATGCGCGATTGATGGTCCGAGAATCAAGAACCGTGTCCCTTTGAGTCATAAACATGATAGGGGATATGCTGGTGCATACATTTGTTTGAAATACATTGCCATGCCTTGCCTGCCCTCTACTGCTGTCAAACAAGTTTCAGCAAGAAGAATCGGCCGACTAGCAGTGTTGGGTGCCGACCGGCAAAATAGGTTTGGCCGAGGGCATAAGTTTGTGGCCGGTGGTGTTCTTACTCAGCCGGTAGTGTTCCACAACACTCAGAGAAGCAACCTTGGGAGTTGTGCAATTTTTAGAGAAGCAGAACAGTCAAAGCAGAGGCAAACTTGTGCATTGCGTTGGATTTCCGAGCAAACCCGAGCACGTGCGCATTGGATCCTCTTCCCGAGGCCTTTACTGCTTTCTTAGCTTAGTTAATTTGCTTAATTAATTAGGTGGTCTGTAATAATTAATTAGCTTGTAGGTTAATTAATTTGTATTATTCTTTTAGTCCCTCCGAGTGAGGGTGAATTTGTAATAAGTGTGGGTGCGTGTGTGCATGTCTTCCAACCCCCACTTCTTTCTCCCTTTTACTTACCTGCTTTGATGGTTAGTATTAGGACATGTTTACTTTAGCATACTTTATGTTATGCATGCGTGCATCATTCATTAGTCTTACATGCACCAGGCTTGGCGCATTATACTAACTGCATAAGTATTTTAAATCTAACTTGAATATGTGCTACTTGTGCATTTTCACATGTCATTTATAGACTAGTCGAGCCTACTCTAGTGACATTCCACATGCGTTGCATTAGCCATCTTAAACTAGGGTCATGCATATGATTACTAACTAGTTTCTGTTTTGGCTTGGAGTACTCGGTAAGCATTTATGCTTTAGCATACCGCATGCGTGTGAGTGTTGCCATAACAGCATGATTACCATGAGGCTAGCTGCTTATGTGATATAACTGCTTGAATGCCTGTGGATGGAGGTCGAATTACCTAAATTGGAATAATGCATTAAAACTGTGAATTTTAAGTCCACTAGATAGTGGCAAAACCATATTTTCTAAAGCCCACTTGAGGGTGGCAAAATCTACATTTCAACCTACTTGCGAGTAGCAAACCATTTTCAAAACAAGCATGAAATGTTTTGTTCCAATTTAGGCGATTTGGTCTATACTTGTTTGCTGTGCGCATAGCATACTAATTCTAGGCTAATAACCGGAATAAGAACACATAACGTTTTCAAAAACGGATATCACGGTTAGTAGAGGCCGATCTTCGGATCGGGCGAGAGGGGGTGCTCATAGCTGACCTTCCCCAATCATACCCAAGCTCCCGAGCCGAGGCAACTTTGGTGATGATGGACACGTGGCCTTTAGCACCGAGTCAGGGTTTTCTAAATTCCCCCATAAAAAATATTTAGGTGGCGACTTTGTATCTGGCAAAGCAGTCCATGTTTGGCACTTCTTTTCAAAAATCTGTTTCTCAAAACGATTTGCCGGATTTGGACTCTTTGGTTCAGACTAAGAACTGCGACTATCTGAGAGTCCTGAACTGTAGTGAACCCAAAACGAACAGAACCGGGGGGGGGGACTCGTCCTCCCGGGGCGTTCAGGGACGTCTACACCAGCGCTTTCTTAACTCGATTTTCACCTAAGTTCTATAAACTTGGAACTAGTTCGGTTCACTTATGATTTTGGATCAAACGATGATTTATAGCCTAGTTAGTCCCAGATCCTCAAGTGTCCATCACAGAAGATGATGAATAGTGTTGAGGACGAAAGGGAAAAAACTACTTTTTGTGATCACACCCTAGACTAACTTCATTCAAAGCCCTAAAACCTACTGTCATCATGCCCTAGATTCAACTATGGCAGTCACAGTTCAAGTACACAAGAAAAACAAGAATAACAGATGAAGAACAATGAAGGGTTGAAGACTTACAGGTTAAGACACGGATTGTGGTTCGAATCCGTGAGATAGGGCCCCAGCAACGGCGACAGAGCAGAATAGGCCTGCGGGAATGCTCTAATCTCAGTAAAGTGAGTGAGAGACGAAAGTTGGGTGCTATGGATCACTGGATCGCTGGAGAAGAAGATGAACAGTGGGAAGAAACACAAAAGGGGCGAGCGATGTGCTTATAAAGGGAGAAGAGGCGCCAAAAATTCGAATTTGAGACGACAGCGTGTGACGGCTGGGTTGTTTGTACAAGTCCAATGAGCAGAGGACACGTATCTATGACAAGACCGGTGTTAGTATTGAAGGGACAAGCAGAAAAGTCGAAATATCGATCGAGCAAGTGATGTAGCCGAGCAAGGGAGTTAGCACGACAAATAAGTTGAAGATAACAACCGAGTAGATTAATTATCTCGACTGGAGAAGGTAATCCCGGTCACGCTGACACGAATGGAATTAAAGGGCAATTGAGAGGGAGATTTCCTAAATTGGCATTGAGCTGAGATAATGACTGAGCTAAATTGGGCCAAGCAAGTGGGGATGCGCTCGGTCAAAGCCCCGGTCTGATTTAGCCGGGGTAAAATCGGACTGTCAGCCCAGTTAACTTTATTTGCTCGTTGAGTTAGACGGGGTAGATATTCCGCAGATCAATCTGACCAAGCAGGAGCTAGGTTATAACTAAGGACGGTTAAGCCGCAGTGAGATTCTTTAATGAAACCAGACAATTAACACGGTCGTGGTGTGACGATGTGGCGCCGTGCTAGGCGTAGCTTGGTTTAGAGCATTGCACATCTCATAAGTAGCACGGTCGTGGAGTGATGGAGTGGCGTCGTGCTGTTAGTTCGCGCCAATGTCGTTTGGTGGTTTTGTCAGGTGGTGTTTAGTGGTATTTGCGCTGACATGTGGGAAAATGGGAGAAGAGAGTAGGTCCACGCGTCCATAGGAAAATGGACGTAGAGGTGTGCGCAGAAGGTATATAAACGATGCTGCACCCCTATACTCAGGTCTGAAACATCTTATGATCGCAACTCACTTACCACTTTGCCTACTCTTTTTTCCCTCTATCCTTGTGTGCTAACTTGATCGTCAGAGGGTTTTCTGGCAGTGCACCGCCGGGTAGCTCACAATCATTGTGTTCTCAGGTCGATCGGAGTGAAGCACAGCTTGGACACCAAGAGTACGGACAACGACGGATATTTGGGCCTCATACACTAGTGTGTGTATTAATTGATGTATGTAGCACCACTAAAAATATAATGGAAAAATTACCTATAAGTGGGATTTGAAAAAAAATTATTACGTGTAAAAAAATTATAATTATAATTATAATTATTAATATTCATTAATTTAAATTTAAAAAAAAATCTAAAACCAAACACAACCTAACATAGCAGGCCAATTCCTCTTGCCCGAACCATGCCCGTGTTTGTCCCGACCGACCCGACCCGAACTCCATGGCGACCCTTTGAACATGGAAAATGGCTCACCCAAAAACTCAAAAGCATAGAAACATCAAACCATCTCTCCCTCTCTCTCTCTCCCCTTCAATATTTCAGAACCTCAATCAGAAATGTTGATCAATTCACAAGCATTTTGATCAGAGAGTCACAGGTAGAGATCAAAACTGATCAAACTCAGATCTGAGGCGAATCCTTATTATCATACATCAGTACACCCAATTTCTCTCTCTCTCTCTCTAACTGTTGCAAAGTTGTGAGAGAGGGACAGGATCGAGAATGGCTCGGATCTTCGAGTACTTCGTTGTGTGCGGACTGGGTCCGGAGATTCGAACGTTAGATGGGAACAGAGGGTTTCATGGAACACTGGTTATGTACTTGCCTTCTCTCCTTGATCAGTATCCTCCTTCTAATCATACTCTCTACCCTCCTCCACCTCCCCAGCTTCCCACTGTAAGCAATTCAATTCAATAGCCTTTTATTTTATTATTATTTGATTTTATGATGGTTGAATAATGGGTTATTGGAACTCTGATTGTACTGGAATTTTCTGCTTTTGTTTGGGATTTCTTAAAGAAATATATGTGATTTTATATGCATGTCTGAATGGTAGTTAGTAGTTACAAAATGCTGAAAGAAAGAGCCCCACTCCCACAAAAATCTGCACAAAATTATTGAATTGTTAGGCAATCGAATATATTCTCGGCTGCTCCCAAAGCGGCTTTGAGTATGGCAACATGGAGAAGGGGTAGGGAGGTCATCCATTTAGCTTTCACAAGAATTATGATGATTAGGAATATCCCCTCCCCTTTGTGACCATAATAATTGTCAATATTTAGGATGGGCTGTATTTAAAAGTCGTAGAAAAATTGGTGATACGCACATGTACACAAGATATAGAAGAGTCAGCTAACATGCTCAAGATGGAGAATAACCATAGTGCACCCCCACAACCCAATTATACATATCAAAGGTCTAGATAACGCACAAGGGAGCAGCTGCAACACCCTCTCAAAGTGCCTGCTAATAAAACTTAGTCCCTATATGAGGAAAGATAATTCACACAATTCCGGACAATGAGAGTGCTCTACATGTCTCCCAATTACTATCCGAACATTTATACATATCAACGGTCTATGTAAGGCACAAGGGTGCTGGCACCCTCTCAAAGGGCCTGCTAATAAAAGTTAGTCCCTATTGGAGGAAAGACAATTCACTGAATTCCGAACAATAAGAATGCTCCACATCCCCCAAGAAACTACACAATGCAATGACAAGTGATTAACACTTTCTAGGCCCTTCACATGTATAACATAGAGTGATAAATGTGCCCTTTTTCTTCAAATTTATCAAATGGTTAAATGGGCTTCCAAAATTGTTTCACAGAGAAAACAAGAGGGAATCATAGCCCTTGTGGTGCCAACCTCCTTCTTGTATACGAGCCAATGTGTGCAAGCCGCTTAGCACTCTAGAATGTTCTGAGACTATAACCCCCTCATTTACCTGTTTGAACGTGACACTTCCTCCATGTCTCCTTTGATGGAATGGAAACAAAGGAAGACAGTTCTTTGTTCCTAGGATCAAAATGTCCAACTGTATTACTACGGGACCACATGAAAGGGCCACCCTAAAGGGAGCTGGCGATGTTGACAATCCAGCAAGAAAAGACCCATCTTTATGATGCATTAAAATGATATAAAATAAGACAAAAGAAAACAACCTTGAAGTTTGAGGATTTATATCCTTTTTATCTTTTCAATAATTTGTTCTTTTAAGTGAGGGAAATGATGAAAATGGAGCTTGAAGATCCTCTTTTTAGTAGAAAAATGAAGCATATTAGAAAGAGGAAGTATAGAGGAAGAATAAGGCATATTTCCTTTAGATGGCACACCCATATAAGATTGCAAGGAGATAGAAAAGGGAAAGAAAAAGAGAGAAGACAAAAACCAGCTAAAATGTTCATGCAGCCCAAGTCAAGGTGGTAGAAATGCCATCTAGGTGCATGAGGGTTGCATGTGTCTTTCATTCAACCTTGAAGTCACTTTAAATGCTCAATTGAATTTTCACATTTTGACATGTAGCTTAGCTTGTTATCCCATTGTTATTGTGATTGTATCTTTAAATCCCTCGTCGCTCTTTCTCTAACCAACCCTAAAGAATTAGGTAGTATCATGTTACCATCAATGTATATACTCCATGATTCTTGCTTGGCAAATACTCTAATGCAACTCTAGTTTTTTTCCTTTGATGACAATAGCTATATTGATAGGTCTGGAGAGTCCATGTTCTTTAGATATTTGTTTTAAGAATTCTAGTGTTCTTTCCTTTGCAATGGCCTACAAAATAGACATTATAGTCTAAGAACCACGAACACTTCTAAGAAGGTGCCGTGTTTCTTATAGATGTTGACACTAACATTTCCCAAAACGTGTTAGATGCTTGTTTCAAATGTGTCTAACTACTTTTTTATTTTATTTTATTTTATTTTATTTTATATGTATATATATATTATAGAAATGGTGACCCTTTGGACACTTATGGGATATATGCTTATCGGTTTGACATGTATTAAAATATGTGTTTGATTTGGTTTTGGGAGATAAATTTTCAAAAAAGATTTTGGGGAGAGAGTTTAGAAATTTTTTTGGTTTGTTTGGTTATATATTTTGGAAATAGTTTTGGAGTATGGGAGTTTGGAATGATTTGATATTTTGTTGTAATTGCGTAAATATGTGTGAGAGAAAAAGTGATTGAGAAGGAGAGAAGAGAGAGAAAAAGTGATTGATTGATGTGTAGGAGAGAGTAATTTTTTGAAAATCACTAAACCAACACAATTTTGGAAATTTTGTCCTAAATTTATTTCTCAAAAGCAAACCAAACAAGGCCTATAACTTTGAATAAAATAATTTGACAACCAATGATTAAAATAAAAATAAACCCTATTGGTTATATCTATTAAGCCCTCCTTCTTTGTGTTACCAGAAAACACAAATATACTAGCGAATTACGTATTGGTACGCACGTTTCGAAATATGGTATACTCTCATTTCAAAACGGTAAATTTAGTGATCCGAAGTGATCCCAAAAGTTTTTAACAATATATTTTTTAAAATATTACCTTAGGAGGAAAAAAATCAAATATAATGAACTAAAATCTAAGGTGACTTAAGTTTTGACTAGATAAAAACATCAAAAATGAAAAAAAAATATATATATTTTTTATTGGATGCATAATAGTTAAAAGAAATTTAAATTTATTGTAGAAGTACTTTCAATTCTTAAGTGCAATATATAGAAATCTACCCCTATTGTACCACATTTTAAAGCATGTGGCGTACTACGTTTCCGTTCTCGTTCCACATACCCAAGCAATCAACATTCCACATAACATAGCTCCTTCTTTAGACTTTTAAATTTACGAACCTAAAAGTCTAAAATTTCTAGTTTGATTGGGATTAGAGCTTCTTACAATAGTTATATGATCTTTTGTTTATATTTCCTTTTCAACTTAAAGAGTTTGAAAATCGATTTCTTTCTATTTTGATGTATAAAATATTAATGTATTTTTAACAAAGAATTTGTTATTATATTCATGTATATAATTATGTATTTTTAACAAAGAATGTGTTATTATATTTATGTATATAATTTTTTATTATATTCATGTATATGTGACCATGTCAGAGTATCTGTATCATATCATATATGTCCTCTGTCTGTTCTGTGTCCATGCTTTTTAGATTATAGTTGTGAACTATGGGCTGCCAAGTATGCTATGGCTTTGAAATTTTGGTGTGGGGCAGTGTTTTAAAAGGCTCCAGGCGCACCGAGGCAATAAGGTCTCCTATAGCCTAAGCGCGAGGCGAAGCACGCGCTTCACAAAAGCGAAGCTCAAATAGTAGAAGAAAAGCAAAATTATAAAATAGGCAAATTTTTCAACATAACAAATATATATATATATAATATTTAAAAAATCATAACCATTTTCGATAATTTCTAAACATAACATTCAATCTTCTAAAAGTTAGAAATATAATATCCAACAAAAGGTATAAAGCATAACATTCAGTCTTTTATCACTTTCTGCTCTCTTTTGACTACATTTGGTCATTTTATATTGAAGAGTTTTGAATCCCTGCGGGTATGTCCACAAAAAAAGCACTTAATCAACAATTGGAGTAGAAAAATAGGTAAAGCCCATGAAGCCCATGCCTCACCTCAAAAAAAATCCCTCACCTCAACGCCTAAGCTGCGCCTTGTGTGTTGCGCTCTGTTCAAAGTGCGAGGCTGCGCCTCATTGCGCCTCGCGCTTAGGCGCGCCTTTTAAAACACTGGTGTGGGGTACCCTTTCCTTTCAAATCCTTTTCATTCGGAGGATGGGAACCATCTTAGATGAGGGCTTTTTCTATTGAAGTTACTTTTATTTAAAAAAAAAAAAAAAAAAAACTTAAATGAGAGATTTAATTTGGGAAGTTAGTGGTTCAAAAAGCTAAAGTGTTGGAGGAGATTCGTTGAATTGATGAGTTTGAAGTTAAAACAGACAAGACTGATTTCAGATGCAGAGGATGAGGATAGAGAGAAGGATGAGGAGTGTTTGGTAGGATAGCTAAGATGGAAGAGATTATTTGGAGGCAGAAGTTGAAATCTCTTTGCCTGAAGAATGGTGACTGAAATACCCATTGTTTTTAACATGATGGCTAATGCTCATCGATGCCATAATATCATTGCTAGTATTAATGTTAGGGGTAAAAGTTTTGACAAGGTGAGAGGAGATCCAGTAGGGTGTGGTAGATTTTTTTGAAACTTTGTGTTTAGAGACCAGCGAGGTGTCCAAGACTAGATGAGATAGAGTCTTGTTCAATCTCATTTGTGGATGAGGCTTGGTTGGAAAGGGCCTGATTGAGGAGGATGTGGGAGCAACTTTAAAAACATTTAATGGGGTTAAGGCTGTTGGCCCAGATGGGATGATGTTAGCCTTTTACACTGGTGTTGGGGGGTGGTTAGGGGGAAATGATGGGTTGATGTCATCCCTTTTTGAGCATGATTTGGTTGAGAAGAGTTTGAATGTCTCTTTGTTGCTTTCATTCCTAAGAGAAGAGGAGTAGAAGAAGAGATTTTTGTCCTATCAGCTTGTTAGGTGGATATATAAGCTGCTTATAAAAGTGTTGGCTATGATGCTGAAGAGAGTTTTGGGGGGATTGCATTAGAATCACAAAATACTTTTGTGGATTCGCAAAATATGAGATTGGCTAGAAATAATGATTTTGAGATTGGCTAGAAATAATGGGGAAATCATTTAACTTCTTTTTTCAATATTCCTTACAGATTATTATTCTTTACTGTTTGTATTTATCTCTAAGGAACGGAACATCACTCATGTTGGTCTCACCTATGTGGAGTGTTGGGAGCAGTGTACATTATACTGAACTAACCTCTGGTATTATTTTTGCGAAGTTGTTTCCTTTAGTCTCAAATCCAAATTGTCATTTTTGACTGCCCAAGCTTTTTATCAAGCGGGCTATCTTGAACTAGGCTTCATAGCAGGTTAGTGGTCAATTCATAGTATTTGATAGGGTTTGAGGATTTTAAAAATTAAATGAGGCAATTCTACTTCATGCAGAGATTTGATATTCTATTAAGATGTGCAAGTTTAAAACCATATTAATGTGGGCATCACTTTTGCATCAAATCACAATGCAAGGCGATTTAGCATTTTTATCATGTAATTACATTGTGATTTATTCGTTTCTGCCTCAAATATTTTCAAATTCAATGATAATGAGTTTGGCTACTTTTTGTCAGCAAAGCCATTACTTTATTACTCTGCTTCACTTTGGCTATTTTATATGTTCTCTCTTTCAACCATCCTCATCCAACATAGTGGGGTTGCTGAATTGCAGTGTGTTCTACCAGCTGGTGTGGAGTTCTACACATCAGGCTTCAATTCTAATGATGTCTCAACCTTTCCACGGAGTTATCCTATTGTTTTAACTGGTATGCAACTCTTGTATATATTTCTAGCAATGTTTACTTGTAATTATTCAAGTTTTTGCTCCTAGCATTTAGAGTATGCAATTTGTTTTTTTGCTTGTCAAGTTGGCTGACTAGATGTAGTAGAATTTGGTTTTCTACTGTTAAAGAAGTTAAAATCCAATAGATAATTGAATATTGATTTAAAAGCAAGGTATATTCTTTTTTTGAGGTTCTAGCACATCATTGAGGGTCTGTTTCTTTTGTTCTTTGTAGAGTGGATGCTCCCTTGAGGGGTGGATGAAATGTAAAAACAAAATTACGAGTCACATATAGCCCTCCAATTTCTAGAAATAAAAAAAAAAAAAGAAGGTATCCCCTTGAATTTTTTTTTGGTGGATAAATAAAGGTATCCCCTTGATAGGAGAAGACATTGAAGCCCAAAAGAAAGACAAATAACAAATATTGTCCCACAACCCTCCACTCTCTTCAATCTTGCTCTAAAAAAACTCTTGTATTTCTTTCCAACCAAATCACCTCAAACATTGAACAAATACACAACTCCAAAATACTTGAGCCTTCTTATTAGTTCCAAATCATTAACATTGAATACAAGAAGCCAGAGTCACCCAATCTATCTTGACCAACTGAAATAACTTGTACCATAACGCCATAGCTACAGGGCAATGCAAAAATAAATATTCAATAGTTTCCTCGTTCTTAGACATAATACGTCATTATGGATGAAGTCTTTGTGTCGGTTATGTATTTTCTTTTCTTTGTTTCTCTTATTTGACGAGGATGCTGCATCCTCGTCTCTTTTTTTCTTGATTAATCAATAAAATTTTTGTCATTGATAAAAAAAAGAAAAGAAAAAAGGTCATTACGGTGTCAAAAGGCCATTAAGCCTCCTTTTCTGAGTCATGCCATTAGTATTGAGTTTCTTGTGAACCGAAGGCTCTGCAAAAACTTCACTTTTAATAGGCACAATAACTTTCCAAATTATCAAATTAGGAGTAAAAAAGTTACAGTTGGATAATCAACAATCTTATCAAAGAAAAATCTAAGAGAGAGAGAGAGAGAGAGAGAGAGAGAACCATTAGAATAAATAGTTCAGAGTCTTTTATCAATAGATCCATGACTGAGGAAACATCATCAATGATAGATAATAAAGAAACCAACTCTTTAGTGTCACGAACATTGGGACACATGATTTTGTTGTCTTCTAATTCAGTTATCAACATTAAGTATCTTGTCATGCGCTATTTTCCATACAAAAAGCGCACATTAGAAGGAGCACCTCAGAAATTGAAGAACACCTTCTGTGAAGTTGGTGCAATATTGAAGTATTTTAGTAGTTGGGTGTGGATGCTTTTTTCTAAATTATTATATGTTTTCCGGCAATAAGAAAAGCTCTTTGGAAGTTGAGAAGAAAGCTAAGGGGGATGGGTTGGATGATGGGGTTTGGTGGGATTGGAGATGTCATCTAAGGAATTATGTTGCTACTTTTTTTTTTGGGGTAAGTAATTATGTCGTCTACTTGGTAATGGGATTGAGGAGAATTCTTTAGTTGACTTTTCTTTCAATATTGGTTCCAATGGTTTAGCTATTCTCAACAAAGTAGATAGGATTAATAGTAAATTTGAGGAATTTCCTTGACTAATAATAAAGGTGGTTGCCTTAGCCATGATCAGATCAGATTGAACAAGTTACAAAGATGAAAGAGTTGGTTGGTGGAGCAAGGATATTGAACCTGTGAGGGAGGATATTGGTAGGATTAAGAAGGTTTCAAGGAGGGAAGGGGAAAATCATTCTCCAAGAAGGAAAGGGAACTTAGGAAGATTCAATGTTCAGTGAACTATATGATGATCATAAGAAGAGAGATCATATAGTGGGGCAAAGAAACGTGAAGGATAAGGATGGTTGTTTAATTGAGAATATTTATTACCTTAGAAGTCTGCGTTTTCGTTCTTTTGTGTTTGTGTGTGTGCGTGCGTGTTTATGGAAGATTCTAAGAGGAAGTTCAAGGAGGAACATCCGTAAATCATTTCTGTTGTCCTCATTGGTAAAGCTGGTGTAGTTAAATGGAAATCAATGTCAAAATCCGAGAAAAAACCCTTTGCAAAGTTGGCCCTATATTTGAAGCATTGTAGTAGGGGGATTTGTTCTTTTCTTTTTGGTTTGTAGTAGGGTGCTGGATCTCTCTCTCTCTCTCTCTTCTTTTCTTCATTTTTTCTATTCTTGATTGTATAAGGGTTGTGCCAACTTGGCACATTCTTTAATACAAATTTCTTTGTTGCTTAGAAAAAAAAGGATTGTGGTCTTTCTTTTGTACTTTTTCTTCTTCTTTTGTTTATTTTATTTTCATTTGATTGTACAAGGGTTGTGCCCCTCAGCACGTTCTCTATTCAATTTTCTTTGTTGTCGATAAGAAAAATAAATATAACAAGATTATATTCAATAAAAGTATTAAAGAAATGTTCTAAAAAAATTGAAGAAATAAAAGGTAAAGGAACACCAGAAAGTATAGAAAATTGATTACTGATTGAAAAGTTCAGTTGTAAAAGATGTTTCCTCTTGAACAATGTTGGCATTTTATTCTACACTAGTTGTAGTATGACTGATCTTATTTATTTTTTGCTTAGCTATAGCATTTTGTCACTGTTGAAGTAAATTATATGTTGACAGATTTGAATAATATTATATCCATCTAGTCCATTCTGTTTACTTTTTACAGAAGTTGTAGCATGAGTTTTTTGGGTTATTGACAGACAATTTTGGATAACATGATTTTCTTTCAAGACCAAATAGTTATTTGTTGGGTTAGTGGGGTTAAATCCTAATGATTATTTAGCTATTTTGGCCATTTGCATTACCATTGTTGTCTATTTAAAGTCAATTTTTTTTACCAGACTTGTATACATACATATATATATATATATATTTGTTGTGCTTTGTTTAAACTTGTTTCCTCTTTCTTGGATGTGATATTTGCTGCAGAGGGTGATGGGTCTAAAATTTATGTTTGTTGCATTGCTTTTCGGGATCCGGTCTGTGAGGATATTGCAGAAGCTTATCGCATCCCAGCAAATTCGTTTGCTGACAAATGTATCTGTCTTGTTTCACGCTCACCCAGTTTTTGTATCCTTCGGGATGCATTGGAGGAACTATTTGCACTTTGCTTCTCCCCCGATGGAAGTAGGCAAGTTTGCTTCAGTGGTAGAACATTGATTTTCTTTGATAGATTCATCATGTGGATCCATGCATTTGTTTGGAATTATTGTTAGGCAGTCATCAAATAGTGTGGAAACAAGAATGCTTTCCTAAAACACTTGATTACATCCTCCTCTTTTCTTATTTAAGTATCTTAAATTATACATGGAGGGGAAAGCTGATATAGTTTTTGGACTATGTTGGTGACGTCCTTATACTTGATGGGGGAAACTACTCTTGATTTTGATGTAATGTTGCCGTACCAGTGAGTTAAATTTTTTTAGAGGTCACAGTTTGATAGTCTGTTTCCAGTTCAACCATTCCAGCACCACCAATTGATGGAGATTAAATTAGGAAGTCGCTTTTTAGTTTGGACGTTTCATCCTTGCCAAGAATGGCCTTATTCCTCATTTGACTACTCCATCTTTAACATCCCACATAGAGCTGGATCTCTCTCTCTCTCCCCACCCACAAGACATTGCAATAACCTTGGCATTGTTCTGGAGCAACTGTCAAAGTAATACAGGTCCTGGTAGTTGCAAGCATGATTCTGCTGCAAATATTTTTTCTCTTGATCTTTCAGTTTTATGTGATTTCTACTATTTCCAGCTTCGAATCTTGGGTAGAATTTGAATCTCACAGATGTATTTGATTTTTAGTAAATTTATCTTTTCTCCCTCTTTTTGTTCCTCCTCGTATTCTTCTTCATTTTCTTCTTTTTGGAGGAAGCAAAAGAAATTTTTTTTTTTTGATAAATAAAATACTTTATTGAAAAAGTATCAAGATGATGCCAAGAATGCAAAACGCCTAAAAATGGAAAGCTAAAACCTCCTAGCCAATACCATTATCCAAAAAATTTAAGAAAACGAATAAATCCGGATCCACCCTTTTTTCCAATGAACTACACAAAGTAACTAACAAACGATTCTCAAGCCATGACACCGAATGGTTAATCTCTTGAAACGTAAGTCAATTTCTCTCCAACCAAGCCAACCACATCAAACAAAAAGGCACCATCAACCAAATTCGCTGATGTTGATGCCCAACCCAAGCGCCACGCCAACTCCACAATAGCTCCAACACCCCCCTCGGCTGCTCCCAAACAATCCCAAACATAGACCAAATAAGCCCCTAGGGCCGTGACACTACAACACAGTGAAGAAACAAATGATCCACTGACTTTGCATTAGCACAACACATACAACATCGATTCACGAATACTTGTCCTTGACGAACTAAATTGTCAATAGTAAGATTTTGTCCCAAAGCAGCCGTTCACAAAAAGAAAACCTCCTTAGACGGAACACTCAACACCCAAATACTCCTCCAAGGAAATACCCCTTTCACCTCCTCCACCAAACTCCGATAAAAGGACGAAACAGAAAATTGTCCTTTAGTACCCGAAACATTCCAAACAACCACATCCTCTCCCCTACCCGTGATGCCCAACCCATATAAGAAACTGAACATCTCCTCCAATTGGTCAACCTCCCAATCCTGAACTTGGCGCCGCAATTGAATATCCCAAACCACCAACTCCCCATTCCCCAAACAATCGGCAACAGTAACCTCCTGATCCAAAGCAATCCCAAAAATCAAGGGGAAACGCACCTCCAGCACAACATCCCCACACCGCCTATCCTTCCAAATTTTATAAGTAGGTAGAGTAAAATATAAAAGAAAGAGGGATGAGGGATCCTTGAGACTTCATCACATAATCTGGGGGAATGTCGAGAAACACAACTAAGTTACTAGCTACTCTTGGCTTCTAGGACAATTATTTCTTACAGTAAGCACTGTATCAAACAGATTCAAGACAAAATTGAGGGAGGAAAGTAGTGGCTTATAGAAGTTCCTGAATTGGTAGCCCCTCATCTAGCCAAAATGTCAGTTCCCATTGGGTGAACTTAACTAACCATGAAATTGGTCACCTCTAAGGATGATTGACATTCTCAAAATCTAATCTTGCATAGAACCGAAAATGACACACAATCCAAAAACCAACTATCCATTAGTGGTTCAAGTTTCGAACTGATCTTATGCCTACCAAATCTAAAAATTACAGTTTCAGCTAAAAAATGTTAGGGCCTCATTTTTTTGATAGGATGAACCCTAAAAGTGAAACCCTAAGACTTTGCAGTTTAAAAAAGCTCTTGGAAAATTAGTGATTGTAGGTTTTGGCAACTGGGTATTTGCTTTCTGCAGATCAGGTTACTTTATAGTTAAATTGCAATTTGAAACTGCTTTTTCTGTTTTGATCAGCAGCAAAAAAGAAATTTTATTTAAAAAAAGAAGAAGAAAAAGACATACAAAAGATTCCATCAACAGGAACGTCGCCTGATGCTGGAATGAAGCCCGAATCAAATCCTTCAATTTGTAGCAACCATTAAATTATAGAAAAAAGTTTACTCAATTTTTTTCTAATACTTTATGGTTACATAATAGTTATATCTAATCTCCAATATTTATTCACATTTCAACATATATATTACAACTAACTAAGCAACTTAATTTTCTTACAATATATTTATATATAAAATATATAAATGCTCCCAAACTTAGACTCTTCTATGTGCCCTCGCTTCCCTGGCGCCACTCTCCTATGTGCAACGAAAAGTTGGATAATTTAACTGTCCAATTTAATATGCATTTACAAACAAAAAAAAAAAAAAAAAAAAATTAGCATAAGTTTTGTTGTCTATTTCTGATTTAGAAAGTCTAATATTTTCTTTGTAAAAAGGAAATTTTCTATGTTATTCTCTTCTATTGCATTTAATGTGCTCAGCTCTGCAACAATTTCAGCAAGCCATTGTGGGATGTTATAGCAAATTTGGTGTCTGGTGTACCTCTGCCTACACCTGGAAAGGATCGTGTGCTATTTGCTATTGAAAATAGCCTGCTTGCTGTTGAAGTTCCGCCAAAGGATGGGCTCCCGCATGCCGATGTATGTGTCCAAATACCATTGTTTTTACTTGGCTGTATGCCTCTGCCTGTTACTTTCAGTGTGATTCAGTGCTGATTGGACATTAGCCATTTTATTTGAGAATAGTTCTCTTCTCTTGATGCAGATATCTTTTCAACCACTGATGCAGTGCTTGGATGTTGACAATTTTCTTAAACTTTTTACAGCTGTGTTGCTTGAACGGAGGGTTTTGTTCCGATCAAACAAGTATCTTTCTAACTTCAGAAAGTTGGAGAAATGGTTTAATAGATTATTCATAATTTTTTGTTCTCATTATTTTGAAGAAATTTGCTTCTTCAATGGGAAGAACTGCAGCTAGTGTCATTGTCTGCTATTGGCAAAACTGATCTGCTTGTTACTTGAATATATTAGCTGGATGCAATTCTAGCTGCTTTGTGTAAATTTACTTTGTGGCTGCTTCCCAGTATTTATCTGTTATATTTTGTGTTAGCATTGGTAGGCTTTGATTATATATGCTTCATTGTGCCATGTTTATGTGCTCTGCTCTACTGTACTTGTATTCATTGCACATTATTTGTAAGTTTGCTGATGTCGTATTTAAACACTCTTGCCTGTCATATAGATTTTAATTGTCATTTTTGCAGATGTCTTTAAACAGAGAATGGGAACTTTGATTTAAGTCAGAATATGAAATAACTTCGTTTTGTATAAGAAATGTGGAAGCACTATGAAAATAAAATTTCTACTCAAATTTAAGGATTTTATATATAAAAAAAAAATACTGGGAAACTCAAAGATTCAAAACTGTTTGAACAATGTCTTGGAATCATATAAATTTGCTCACCGGAACATGCCAAAGGTTCAGGGTCAAAGGTTTGGAATAATTATGATTATGAATAGAGAAATAAATTTAGTAAACTTGGGAGACAAATGAAGAAATAATGAAAAGCGATTGCTAAGGGATTATTCAGTAGTGACAATTTGCCTTATCATGGGCAATAATGAATGCTGAGGGGGAGAATGGAACGATGTTGCTCATAATTTTGAAGTTGGATGGATGGATGAATTGGCAATATGTTTCTACAGCAGTTTATGATTGACAAATGCCTATCAAATTAAAGGAAAAACTTATATCAGATAATTAGCATGTTACCCATGCTTTATAACCTAAAAGACTGTGAATGGCAAGGTAAGAGACAATAGAATCAGAAGAACAGATTAATTGCTAGGGGGGACTAGATGAAACTCAGCCTAGATGATTTAGTCATGTGCAGTAGAGACCAATGACTGCCCAACAGGAGTGGCTTGGTTCAGGTCAAATGTGCTATGCGGACCAGACATAATATATCAGTATCCCACATGTAACTTCATTCGTATGCTTAGATTGAAAATAAATGCTTGAGTTGTCGAGTTGTTCTCAGATTTCCCCCCTTAGCTTGACGTTATGAGAGAATATTTCTTGGCCAGATTTGGCCTTTATTTAGTGATTATGATGAATTATATGTTTTTACCATTGTGAATGGTGTCATTCCTTGTGAATTAATTGATTCTTTTTTCTATCTTTTTTTTTTTATATAAATTTTATAATTAGTTTAAATTGTTATCTGTTTTTATGCAGGTTCTGATCTTGTCTCTTACCATAATTTTTTTTTTTAAAAACTGGGATAGCTATTGGGTTTTGTAAAATGGTTATTTCCATGATTTCACAATCCTAATCATTCTCTTATTGCTTCTTGCAGGTATTCTCTTTTAACACTAGTCTCTGAGGCCATGTGCCATTTGATATATCCATTTCGATGGCAGGTAAGCATTGGAGTTTTTGCAGACTATTATTTTGTACTGGTCAAGGACAAATTTATTCTGTCATATATATGCTGCTCATATTTGTAATATGATGTCAACATCGATTGTTAATTACAGCTGGAAAGTGCTGCTAAGAAATTTTGGTTAATACTAGATGTGCTTACCTAGTAGTGATGCATTATTTGATTCTTTGAAAGGATTGTCATCTAATTTTTCTCCTTTTGTTTTGCTGAAGCACGTCTACATTCCATTACTGTTTTTCAGTGGAGTAGACTACATTGATGCTCCTACGCCATATATGATGGGTCTCCATTCAGGTGTTGATACTACTGGTCTGACAATGGATGGTGTAAGTTTTTTTTTTTTTCCTTTCTAATTTGAGTCTCTTTTTTGTTCTTTTACTTTTTCTCACAAGTTTTTATTGTCTTGTGTGTCCAGTATTTCTCTGTTTATTACCTTTCTCATTATAATTTATCATTTTTAATTTGTAGTATTGTCTTGAGTATGTCATATTTCTAGGTCTTTCAGAATAATTGGTTGGGCAGTTCTGGCAGTTCATTTATCTCCACTTTTATCAGTTTCTTAAAAATTGTGTACTGCCTGAGACGGCACATTTTATTAGAACTTTAGAAGGATTTGGTGAAATGGATCTGGACTCTTCTGCTACAATGTGCATTAGAATCGTTCTAAGTTATTTAATCTTCCTAGAAACAGTTGGCCAAATAGTCAATTAGCTGAATCATATGTTCGTTCTATATAATTGTTATTATTTTGACTAGAAATGACAAAAATCGATCACAAAGGAGGGAATGAACTGAACTGTACAGATAGAGGGAACATGGGGATTCTTTCCTCTGATTGTCATTCAAAAACTTTATCTTACCATTCTTTGGTCGGATGAACAATAGAATTTTTGTTTCTGAATGCCTCTTTTTCTTGCAAATTTCTCAGCCTGTAGTTTTAGATAAAAAGAAGAAAAAGGAAATTTGTTTTTTTTTTTTTTTGATAATTAACATTGTAACATAAGGAACTACACACACTCCAATCAATGCGCTTAACGTGGTGCATTTGGAGGGGGTAAAATTGTGTCATTTTGAAGACCTACAAATGGATATACATAGATTGAAAGTGATGCACTTTGCACCTTTCGTTTTTGGCTCTTCTGGAAGTTTTGTGATTCCTCTTAATTTTATTGATTTTAGGAGAGCTTAGTTATTACTTTAAGTTGTGCTTCGTAGACATCTTAAGTACAAAGGTTATGCCCCTTTAAGTGCCCTTGTTAAAAACACTCAATAGTACTCATCAAAAAAGAAAAGAAAAGAAATATCATGTCAAGTGTATGGGTCTAATCCTTTTATTTTCTTTTCATTTTTCAATCTATTGTCTTGTTGACATTGCTTTTTCTATGTAACAATTTTAGCTCATTGGAGTTGACAAAACTATGCCATAGTTCAATTCTAATTATATCTGCTATGCTAGATCAAAGATCAAGTGATAAGAGGGGTTCGTTAATGTGGGAAAACCATATTCCTTGTTTTCATTTACCATATCCTCTAGTTGATATGACTTATGACTGCCAAGTCTTTGTGTGTATGCAAGGATTAAGAGGGAGAACGGAGGAAACTAATGAAAACTAATAAGATGGATTATACAGGCCCATGCTTTTTTTTCCTTTTTTTGTTTTTTGTTTTTTAGGTGTGGAGATCTAATATTGGAAGAGAATTCAAGACATTTATTTAGTAATAATAGTAATCGAGCAAGGTACAGAAGGATATGTATTTTGTGCTCATAGGACATCTGAACATCAAATCCCACTCATTTTATGGCCAGAATCTTCTCAAGCCACTGATCGAAATAGTAGATGACATCCTATTTGGTGTAGTTAGAGGGTTTTTAATTTTATGATTGTCTCCTTTGCTCTGTACCTTGCGGGCATTTGTTTTTCTGACTTATTTTGGGTCTTGGGGGTGTGCTCCTTCCAAGGTTTAGGGATCGAAACCTCTTAAGTGCTAACAATTCTTTGGGGCCATCGGCCTGGGGGAAAACCCTTGAATTAACCGTGGTGCACTTGCAGGAAACCCATTGCTGAGGGCCTTGTGCACCCTTGTGGGATTAGTCGGACTTTGATCTGGACACCCTAGTGCCAATAAAAATAAAAAATAAAAACCTTGTGAGGCAGTAAACCAAGTTACAGTTTATTTATTTGTTTAGTTTTCTATTCAATTATTTTGTTTCACTGTATTCTTTGTTCTTAAAAACTGTGTTGCATACTTAGCTAAAGCAGCTTGCTAATTGCATAACTTTCTAATGCCTATTCACCTTTATTTGGTTGAATACCCTGATGATGACTGTATATATAATGATATATATAAACACATTTATCCTACCAACCTCCTTTTTCGAAAAGGAATTAATATAATGTTCAAAATAGAGATCTTGCTTCTGTTTTGTTTTAGGTAGTTTATGGAAGAGAATTCAAGACATTTATTTAGTAATAATAGTATCGAGCAAGGTACAGAAGGATATGTATTTTGTGTTCATAGGACATCTGAACATCAAATCCCACTCATTTTATGGCCAGAATCTTCTCAAGCCACTGATCGAAATAGTTGATGACATCCTACTTGGTGTAGTTAGAGGGTTTTTAATTTTATGATTGTCTCCCTTGCAGGCATTTGTTTTTCTGATTTATTTTGGGTCTTGGGGGTGTGCTCCTTCCAAGGTTCAGGGATCGAAACCTCTTAGGTGCTAACAATTCTTTGGGGCCATCGGCCTGGGAAAAAACCCTTGAATTAACCGTGGTGCACTTGCGGGAAACCCATTGTTGAAGGCCTTGTGCACCCTTGTGGGATTAGTCGGACTTTGATCTGGACACCCTAGTGCCAATAAAAATAAAAAATAAAAACCTTGTGAGGCAGTAAACCAAGTTACAGTTTATTTATTTGTTTAGTTTTCTATTCAATTATTTTGTTTCACTGTATTCTTTGTTCTTAAAAACTGTGTTGCATACTTAGCTAAAGCAGCTTGCTAATTGCATAACTTTCTAATGCCTATTCACCCTTTATTTGGTTGAATACCCTGATGATGACTATATATATAATGATATATATAAACACATTTATCCTACCAACCTCCTTTTTCGAAAAGGAATTAATATAATGTTCAAAATAGAGATCTTGCTTCTGTTTTGTTTTAGGTAGTTGTTGTGGACCTTGAGCATAACCGCATCACCACATCAGAGGATATTCCTCCTATTCCAGAGCCAGAATTTAGTTCATTACGTACAGAGATAATGAAGTTGTTGTATCCAAATCTTGTTGGGATAGACCAATTGAAGGCAAGCCTTGGGAGTTCATCTGAGCAGTATCCAAGAGGCAGCAGCAAGCCTTGGGGAGAATATCACGACCTTCAACTTAGGTGATACTTGGATGCCATGTGTTTCTTTATGAAGTACCCATTGCTTTCCAATTGCTACGACTGAATTGTGACTAAAATAATCAAATTATCCTGTCGAATTCCTGCTTCTACAAGCTAGTTTTTAAATACATAGATGAATGCTGTGTGGTTGGTTTTCTTTGAAAATGATAGAAGTGGAGGTGTGCAATTACCAAGAAAATATTAATTAAATGCTAGTTTTTGCCCCATTCTTCTAATGTTATCCCATATTTCGCTTCACGTAGTCTCAATTAATTTTTTGTCACGTCTGAGTACTGCTCACGTGGATTTTCTTCTGTTGCACTTATTTTGTCTCCCTTGTAATTTTAATTTGCTCCCTCTGATATTTCTTTATTTTAACTTAGCCCTAAGTAGTTGGGAGTTATGCTTTGTTCTCCTGCTTTGTTAGAATAAGACTTCATCTGGACAAGCGTCCGTCAAACACATTTTTTACGTTTTATATTCTGAAGCCATAAATTGAGTCACAGCATATACATGTTTCTAAATAATGTAATTTTGTTTTCTATTTTATTATGTTCTGCAATTAAAAACAGTTAACTAAAGAACTTTTGCTTCCTCTTCGTAGAAATTTCAACGTGAAAAATGTGGCTTTCATTTATGTATTGATGTTGTTACATGTCAAAATAAATGATAATATTCACATAGAGAATTTCCATGTTGATATAATTAAATATGACGCAACTATTTCTCATACTTTGAATAATTTTTTATGCAGGTTTATATTTCTAAAGTTTTTTGCATCAATTTTAGGCGGCTACCGCAATTTCATAGTATGAAAGCTTACCTTATACTTTTTATGGTATTTTAAATGTCATACAGAAACGACATTTGATTATCTTGACGAAATTAATCTTTTTCAGGAAAATACTGCAACTCATGTCTTCAACACTCAAGCATTTTTGAAGAAGCGCGCTCGGTCAACCAACCAACCACCAGACCCAATGGTGATGTCATGACATCCAAGTTGTCATTGGTTTTGGTTGATAACTCATAAAATCTCTTTTTTGGTTAATAAAATTTATAATGTTTTTCTTTTCTCACTTTTTTTTTTTTTTTTTTTCTATTTCTTTTTTCTTTCTTTTGGCTGCCTTTCCACAGTTGAATTTTTTGCTCTCATATAATATAGGATAAAATACCAATAGGTCCTAATAGTTGGACTTAATTCCCATAAGTCCTAAAAATAATTTTTTGTAACGATTTTTTACATATGTCGCTAAAAATTGACAATTAGTGCCTTTTTGTCACGGTTTTTATAAATTGTCGCTAAAATTTACCGTTAGTGGTATTTTTCTGTGACGAATTTTTCAAATTGTTGCTAAAACCTATAATTAATGACATTTTTTGTGACAAATTTCAAACTGTCGCTGAAAATTAACAATTAGTGACGTTTTTTTAATAGCGTTTGATGAAAGATGTCATTAATTATCATAGGATCTATTGGATTTAGGACTTAACATAAGTTCCCATATAATATAAATACTGAATAACTCAAACTTATAGAATAGACTCCTGTTAATGCTGTCCCCTTTTTCTCCTCGTGAAATTTATGTCATTCTCTTTCCGTCTCTGAATGAACTTTTAATGATCCTTGAACTGATAATAATTTTTTATTTTATTTTTAACAGGTATCACAGTTTTTAGACTCTCAAGGATTCTTCGATTATTTAGAGAGGGGTCTAGGTTCTGATGAAAACAATAACAATCTTCTTGATAAGTTACAAGATGCCATGGGAAGAGGTCAGAATCCACTATCAATTCTTCCCTCACCTTTGGCAGAACCTGAGATTGTAACTATATCTGATTCTGGTGCTGGAATGTCAGGTACCTTTGAATTGCAAGTTTATTAGCAGTTGCTAATTTAGCAGATGAATTTCTAGAAATATTCAAAATTATTTGACACATTTAAAACTGAATGAATGCTATTTGATATTTTTTTCTTTTTCAATCAGGATCAGGTGCCAAATATAATTATGACAGATTTCCTTCAAACAGTAGAACAGAAGAGCAGGAAGAAAAGAGGAAGCAGATCCTAGCAGCAGCTAGTGGAGCTCTCAGGTACTCAGACAAAGTATATTCCTTCAATGTGCTATGATAACAACTTCTTTGTATGATTTGTACAGAGCTGTAGATGGATTGTCATACATGTTTATGCAGAACCATTTCTTTCAAAATCGTCCCTAATTTTGTTGTTACATTTTCCAGTTCACCTTCAGTGCTCGTGGGTAAGGAATCCAAGGCACAAAGTCTAAGTCCAAGGGAGAGGGCTGTAAGTTCTGTGGACCAATCATTATTTTGATGATCTGGTAGCTTGTATTTGAGCTTCTGCAATTGTTCTCAAACAAAATTGTGAAATTTGTTTTATAGGCTGAACGGGAGCGCATGGTTTTGGATATACAAGTGAAGCTGCAGGTACAAGGCTTCTTTTGATCTTTTACAAGATTTACCCGTACTTCTTGAATTGTGCATGTTCTTTTATGCAGGTTAAATCTTGCATTTTGTGACATTTTTGCTTTAAGTTGATTTATTGGCATACTGTCTTTTTTCCCCTTTAACTTTGATGTGACTAAGGTTCACCTAACAAGCAATCTGGAGTTTACCTATCATTCTGCAAAAATCACAGCTTCAAAGGCACACAGGAATAAAGGGAGCAAGAAATAATTGCCATGTATGGCTTATACCAACAGCATTTCCCATTAGAGGGAGGGAGGGAGGGAGGGACTAATGTTAAAATTTATATGGGGATATGCTTGGTGATTTGAGCACCTTAAGAGGTTAAGTTTCCACATGAAAAATAGTCTCCATAAGAATGTGGATTCAGACATCAACTTTTCTTCCAAATCTAAACATACTGGTCCTAGCTAGTCCTTGTGAACCCTGTGTTGTGACTTCTGATAATGATTTGTGACATTGTTCTTTTGATCAGTGATGCATACAGAGGAGTACAATTTCACATGGTGCACGCATTTGTTTTATAAACTTCTATTTATTTTTATATATTGTATAAATTAGTATGTTTGCTGGTCTTTTTTTATGCATGTTTATTTGTTTTTAGGAGCCAAGGGTAATTATGTAATTTTATTTTTTTCTGGACATATGCTGTAGTTCTGGTCAATAGGTTGTTGTACAGCTCAAGTTAAATTTTGGTTTTTAGGAGGTCTATTCTTTTCTAATTAGTAAGATTTTCTAGTTTCCTACTTTTGATCAAAAGTATAGTTGTCAAATCAGGATTCGAATCGTGAATCGCGAATCGAATCGAATCGTGAATAGTAAAGATATAGTTACTTTTTTTAAATTACTTAGAAAATATAACTACACACTTGATGTTAAATATATCTTATGGATATGAAATATTTAGACTTAAATCAACGAAAATACTGTTTTGAATGATGATCACATAGTTTAATAGATAAGAAGTTAATAAAAGTTTCTATGATCACCATCTTACCTTCCTTTTTTTATATATTTCTTATCAACCATTCTTAATAAAGACAGTAAATAAAGATAAACCCTCAATTTCCAAAGTAACAATAATTTAACAACAATATTGATATTTGGACAATAAGCATACATACTTTTCCAATTAACAATGACCAAAAAATAAGAAAAAATTATTTAGGATATTTTATTTAAAGCCTAAAACATTATAAAAAGTATAACTAACCTCACCCATATAATATTCAACTATATTTAATTTAATAAAATAGTAATAGATAATTCATGGTGTAAATTACTTTAATCTTAAACATCTTTAGAAGATATATTATCATTTTTTTTAGGAAAAAACTAAGAAGAAAGGTTAAAAACATGTTGGGTCTGACTGGATCCTATTAAAAACTCCATGATCAGTAAAATAACAACAAATCATGTATTTATATTAGTTATTTTGGTATAAAACGTTATTACAAATTGTATTATGTCATTTTCACTAAAAAGATGGAGAAAAAATGAGACGAAAATATATCGGATACAATAGTTTTAAAAATTGCATAAATCGTAAAAAGCCAATCGAATCGTGAATCAATTGTGAATCGTGTGATTCACTAGAGATTCACTTCCAAAATAGATTCATCCATAGATTCGTATCGATTTTGCAAAAATTGCGAATCAAATCGTGAATCATAAGATTTTGATAACAGAGATCAAAAGTCCTTGTTGGAATAGGAGATACTAGCTTATAAATATCAATGTACTTCAATTCAATGGAGTTGGATTTTGAGAATTTTGTAAAGCTTGATGTTGTGTTTGGATCTTTGATTTGTGAAAAAAAAGTTAGCTTGTAATTTATTGACTTTTCCCTTCCTTTTTTATTCACTTCCTCATGATTATTGGAGGATGTTCTTCTCCTCCAATTTTGCTCTCCTCTAGTTGGGATCAGGAATTATTTTCAGAAAATATGTTCCTACATTTGTTTTTTTAATTATTTTCCCTTCAGGAGTTGTTTCTTTTAGTGAATTATTATTATTATATTTTTTTGTGTGGGGTTGGAAATGGATTATGGCAAGTAATACAATCTATTATGCTTTAATGATTTTTCTTTTTATTATTTTCGAAGGATTACTCTAATTATTATTGAAATCCAAATGCTTTTTCTTGTTTCATTTATCTTCTGGAAAAAAGGTTCTGGGTGGGTAAAACCTGTGTTGCCAATGCCGAAACTTCTCGATTGGTTTAATTTCCTATCTTATTGGCATTAATAATTCAAAGTTTGCTGGTTGCTTTATTGAACAGGGTCTATGGTTGCGTCTATTGAAATTGGGAACAACTGATGATCCTCTTTCATCCTTTGAATATGGAACAATTCTTGGTATGCTTTGAAGAGGGGTCCACCCTCCTTTACTGAGATGCTTTGAGGGAAATTGTTTATGCGATTGATAAAAGTACAGCTTTCTTGAATGTGCAAAAAGTCTTTGCAAATTGACTATCAATATATATTGGCTTTGCAGCTTTGATTGAGTCTGATGCAGAGGGGATTGGTGGAAGTGGCTTTGTTGAATGCATAAGGGAGCACATACATACAGTATGTAGCTCAAAGAAGCATTTATTTTTTTTAATGTTTGTGCTCACTTCACTAAACTTACTTTATACTCTGTCTCAGGGGTGGATCTGTCAATTGACTGAGGAGCAGTTTATTGCTGTGAAAGAATTGGTAATACTTTTTTCTTTTTGATGTTTTTTTTATTACTCATGATGAGGATTATCACTATTTCTTGAAAGTTTGAAGGCAAAAGTTTAAAATAGTCTTGAGTCATTTTTTTTTTCTTGTTATTCATCTACTTTGAACTTCTTCCTAATTGAAATCATTTACAATTTTACATCGCTTCTTTTATCTAATGTAAGTAATTATATTCATACGAAAAATTATATAAATGTTTCACGAAGATGAGATAGGCTTTTTCTTTTCATCTGACTCTTGTCTGGTTCACCAAATGGAACTTCTTCTCTCTCTGTAATTGTTGACTGTAAAGGTGGTTTGTCTTTCTTTTTCATATTTGAGCTGAGATTGTCTTTCTCACTATTGTATTTCAATATATTCAATCTCAGCTCAAAACAGCTATCAGTCGTGCTACCTCTCGGAATGACATGGAAACTGTCAGAGATGCACTTGAAGTGTCTGGGGAAATGTATAAGAAGGACACTAATAATGTTTCAGACTATGTTCAACGCCATCTTCGTTCCCTTTCCATCTGGGAGGAGTTGCGGTGGGTGTTTTTAATTCATTCTTTGTAGCTTTCCTTGTGGTAACATTATTTATTTATTATTATTGTTGTTGTCACTACTACTTTTGTGCTTTTTTACTCTTTTGCATGCATGCACTCATGTGCGTATGTGTCTTTATGTTTCTTGTATACCTAGTTTCGGCTGGATTTTATTACAGACCAAGGGGCTGATTAGTTGAGAATCAGAGTTGACTAAGCTTCTACCCATTTTTGTGTGACCTCCATTGCAGGTTTTGGGAAGGATATTTTGACTATCTGATGGATCGCTCATCAAGCAAGTAAGAAGTTTGATATATATATATATATATATTATAAGAAGCTTAATTTACATCACTGAAATTTCTGTACACAGTTTTCTCACATCATAGGATACCGAATTTGTCCCCCGTTTCTTTTTGGTGCTACTTACTTCCATCATTTGATGGCATGTTTCTTATGGTTGATTGCACTGAATGTTGACTTCAACCATGCTTCTATTTTTCTTCTGTTCTAGGAACTTGGGTTGACTCTTGCCAAAAATGGCCTAATGGAACCCTGAGTATAGTAGTTGTATACTGTGTGCATGGATAGGGATGTTTTGGATTGATTGTTTTTTAGTAAGGTTGCTGACCAACATTACCAAATTATTTTTTTGTGCTTCATATTCTGAAAGAGAACCATGAGATTGGGACACCATTTAAATACCATTTGACTGATTGGGATACCATATGCTTTCAGATTAGGGAAGGGGCTTTGGGATTCATAGTCTTTCCATCTTTAATCAAGCTTTGCTTGGGAAATGGTTGTGGAGTTTTGCTAGCGAATTGGAGAGGTATCAGTGGAGGGTGGTGAAATGAAAATATGGGGGTGCCGGGGGGGCCGAACTACTGAGGAGGTTTTGCTGCCTTATGGTGTGGGTTATGGAAAGGTATTTGCAGTAGGTGGATTTGGTGGAATTCCTCCACTTGTCATTTGCAGTTTGTGGGGACCAATTGAGGTTTTGAGCTCATCATTGGTATGGGGAGGAGAAGTTGGAGGTATTTGAGGAGGGATGGTGACCATGTGTTAGAGTTGAATGATTGGGAGTTGGAGGAGTTGGTTATCTCCTCGCACACTTACATCATTATATGTTGTTCACATTGGTGATTGAGGTGATGCAGTTTGATGGATGAGGTCCTCTTCTGGACATTTTAATGTGAAGTCATTTTGTAAAACCCTTAAGGGCTTTAGAGGGTTTTACATCCTGTGGAAAGAGGTGTAGGGTACTGAGGCCCTGTCTAAGGTGATTATGTTTTTGCTTGGTGTGCAGTTCATGGCAAGATACTTGCAATTGATTATTTGAGGAGGCAAGTGCATGCCAATTGGTATTGTATATGCAAACACAATGAGGAGAATGCGTGTCATCTTCTCATTCATTGCGAGGTGGCTCAGGAGTTATAGTCCTTGACTCTTTTCTTGTTTGGAGTGGATTGGGTGTTCTCTAGACATGGGGGAACTTCTTTGTTCTTGTTAAGGTCCTCATGTTAGGAAGGAGGAGGCAAAGGGCTTGGTGTTTTCTCCCTTTGGCAATCTTGTGGCTTCTGTGGGGATAAAGGAATAAAAGGATGCTTAGGGTAGAGAATAATCAATTTTGAGGTTCAAGAGTTTTTTTTGTCTGTACTGTATAGTTGGTTTTTCGGGGTGGTTAACCCGTCCTTGATTCAATTTTGGAATTTGTAGGGACCTTTAAATAGGCTTTTAGCATATATTTGTCCGTTTCCTTTTCTCTTGTAGACGAGTTGCACCCCTTGGTGTCTCCTTTCAACACTAATTCGAGTACTTGAGAAAAAATTACCAAAAAGGTTACTGCTTTTAGATTTCTTTCTCACACTTGACTGACTATGCTTTTGGAGAGAAAAAAAAGGAAATGACATACTTGCAGCTGTTCGTGACAAGTGAGAACAATGTATTATTATATATTTATATGTATTTTTTTTATTAAAAAAAAAAAAAATGCCCCATTGAAACCTTTCTTGCTGTCCTGTAAAACTATTGAGATTTTCTTTATTCTTTGTACAGTCGAAATAAAACTTCTTGTCATAGAAGGAGCAATGAATTTTTTTTTTAGGAAAGAAAAAAGTTATTGAAAACCTTGATGAGTATCCTGTAAAAGTCATAAGATTTTATATATTCTTTGTATAGTTGAAATTATATGCCTAATTGCTCCACATATAGTTCATTGAACAAAACAAAAGAAGTCACTTGGCTTTCCTTGCCACAATTAAAATCTTGCCGCAGAATTATTTTATGTGATAGTTCCTTTAGCATTTTTGAATTTTTTTCTTTTGTCAAAATATCCTCCTCTGGTGCAACAGCCTCACCTTTTGATGAAATATTAGCACCTCTCTCCCTCCCTCCCTGCTCTCCCCTTCTATGCAAGCAATCCTCCAAACTCATTGGTAAGTAGCTGGCCGAGTTTTGATTCGTAGAGTGGGTAAAATAACCTCTAAACCCAGAAAGTAGCACTATAGATGCAACTCTATTTGTGAAAAGCATATCTATTCTGCTCATTATTAAATATGATTGTTGACATTTGTTCTTATGTCAGGTCAGCCAACTATGCAATGTTGGTGACAACACAGCTAATTATAATGGCATCACACATGGTAGTATTTTTATTTTATTTAATATTTAGTTTTTGGTTCCTTTTCTTTCATCCTCCTTGTTCTTTCCTTTCATATGCATATATATATATATATGTTCTTTCTTTCTTTAGTACTTTCCCTTCAACCTCCTTTTACAACCCTCTACTTCTGATTATTGAACTTGTGTTTACTATTGTTGTCAAGGCTGGATTGGGACTTCCTGACACTGATGCTTGGTATACCATTGAAACAATTGCGGAGAAGAACAACATTGGATACAAGCAAATTGTAAGTTAATTGATGTATTTATGGGGTTCTTATTTGTTTATTCATCTATCTTTAGGTGGCCTGGGTTTCGGGAGAGGTTAGATACAAGAGTCATTCCCATAAGTCAAAATGTCATTGCTGTTCACAAATAATCATAGTCTTCAAAACAGTCAATACCTTTAATTCATGGTCTTACCAATTTCCAGGCAATTCACCAACGCAAACAAAAGTTGCAATCAAATTTTAAATCAAGAGAGAACAATATCCCCAATTAAGGGTTAGAGAGAGAACCAAGGCACTTAGCTTAATCAATTTTGTATTCTTCAAATAAAAATTAAAAACAATTGAGGTTATATTACCTATTTATAGGTTACAACTAATCGGGCACTTAACATAAACTTAGTAGGTGTTTGGGATAAACTATAAAAGTGCACTTCTTTTACTTACATACACTTATTTAGATCACATCAATCAACATCTATCAACATCTCTTCTCTACTTTTCTAATCACTTTCTTTACTTTTCTACACATTTTTTTTTATAAAAAGTCAAAAAGTGTACTTATTTAAAACATCTCAAACCATCCCTTAATGTGTTTATTCTACCATATCAATACTCCCCCACTAAAAGAAACTTCTCCTCAAGTTGGGTAGTAGCTAGGTGAGCCATGTCAACTCAAATTTGAGATTTGAATGAAGGTGATGAGGAATAGGTTTAGCATTTCCTTGCTCAAAGTGGTCTTCACAAGTGGTTCATCCATGAATATGTTGAGGTTGCAACCTTGGCTACATAGCCACAGCTGCAAAGAGAACAACCCTCATCATGTAATTTTAACCTCATGCTAGAGCTTTGATAAACCTCCATTTTCCAAACCTTTTACCTCTGACCAGCATATTTGTACAGTAGAGTACTCATCCTGTGGGAAAGAGACCAACTGCCTGGCAAAGGACATATATCCGAAGCAAGGTTGAGGAATGTGAAACAACGAGAAGAGTGTCTGCGCATTTAATAAACAGGGCCAGCTTGAGAAGGCATTAATAAGAATTGGAAATCTCTCTGACCTTCTTCCTTCCTTCCCTCCCTTGGACATAATTGTCAAAATGAGCATTGTGGCAAGTAGCTTAACCAACACAACACAACTTCCTATAGAGCATGTGGTGTACCACTTTTCCGTCCTGTTCCCCATACTCAAATGATCTATGTTCCAAATAACATAGGTCTGGACATTTGAGTTTGTGGACATACTTCCACTGTTGGGAAAAGAAACTAAAATTCTCTATTTTTTTTCAGGCTGCTATTTATCTATACACAAGCCTGTGACTCTCTGGCTGTTGTTTTCTTTTCTCTTTTTTATGTTTATTTTTTTATTTGTGTATTTATATTTGGATGGGGCAGAGAGGTGATGGGTTTGCAGTCAGTACATAGGTTCAATAAGCTATTATTTATGCATGATATCCTCAACTATTTGGTTATGTGTCTTTTTATTTTTATTTTTTCTAAGCATCTTGATTAGATGTTAATCTTGAAAATTGTAGTATTGTGCTTGAGATTATGAAATTCCTGCCGATACTGTTCATCCTTTGGTTCATTGTAGATAAAAATCAGGGGATTCCTGTCACATATCCAGCAACTATATAGTTGTTACTGGGGAATCTATTCCATAAAGGTGCATTCTGTTTCACCCTATGGTTTGCCCTCCCCGCATCCACAAGATGCCAACAATGACAATCAGCAACCTGCTGAAGCTTCTGGTGTGGGAAGGAGCTGGGTCCAGAGCATGTTTACCAGGGATACATCACTAAGAGCAAACTCTTTCAGTCGTGTTCGCAAATGGACTTCAGATAGTGGAAATTTAGGTGTTTATATTTTTTGGTACTCAATGCATTTGCATTCCAATTTCTCTGTGCAATTAAGCTTATATGACCTCACATGCTGCATCATTTTTCAAGTACAGCTGCAAATGAGAATGGGACTCCTCGCAAACAAGATTCAACTGCTGGACAAAAGAAAATACAAACCAATGTCCGCCTACTTAGAGGTCATACTGGTGCTGTCACTGCTCTACATTGTGTAACAAGAAGAGAGGTGTGGGATTTGGTGGGTGACCGTGAAGATGCAGGTTTCTTTATCAGTGGAAGCACTGACTGCTCGGTAATCGTTCTTAGTTCTTACTTTTTCTTTTAAGCTTTTCATTTTGCGAGAATCATGAACATGAGACCTTGAACTGGTGTTTTTTTTGGCAAGGGCAAGTGGCTAACTCTCCAATTTTTCTTTCGTTATATTTTTTTTTCTTCTTTTTTTTCTCTAAAGCAATGATGGTTTTTGCCTTTTTGCTGTAATGTTACAGGTAAAGATATGGGATCCTAGTCTTCGTGGTTCTGAACTTAAGGCAACTTTGAAAGGACATACAGGGTATTTCTGCAATTTGTATTCTTTAATCTTTTTGCTTTTTCTGTTTTAACTTATAGAAGTTATTCTAATTCCTTTTCGAAGTGACTGTTTCTTCTGTGATTTTCAATTAATGCACCTTTGAAAATAAATTTTTTTGTTTTATTCAATTTGCAGAACTGTCCGAGCAGTAAGTTCGGACCGAGGGAAGGTGGTATCAGGATCCGATGATCAGTCTGTGATAGTATGGGATAAGCAAACTACTCAGCTTCTAGAAGAGCTGACGGGCCATGATGCACAGGTTTTCATTTATCAACACAAATTTTGCTAAGATTGACGTGATTATGTTAAACTACAAAGGTGCCTTGTGATGGGCATAGAAAAGAAAGATAACCTAATATTTTACACGGGATCTATCAAAATCCAAACCCTGTGAAATAGGCAAAGAAAAAACCACAACTTTTATCTATATTAGTGTACCAAAAATACGGTATCCCATCAACCTGAAGGGAAAGGAGGGTGTCCTGTGATGCTCACTGTGAGCTTGCCCTTTTATCCTAGCATTTTCCAGTTTCTTTGGAGACGTGTGAAAATCACCGTGTGGGAGACTTGATGTGGTTCTCACCATCACTTTACAGTACCAAATGTTAATGCATTTGGTTACCTTGTTTTAGAGAGCAGTACAAAGGAGGTGCCTTCGTTGTGTTCATGGAGGAGTATAGAGAGCAGTACAAAGAGAAGCATCTGAACAAATTCCAATGGTTAAAGTTATCTAGGCTAGGGGAAGAAATGAAATTCTATGACTGAGAATGAGATAGCTCCATTTATGGTAAATGGAAAAGGTAAGAAATGGCAAGGATAGGGTTGAAGGCAATGTTGGGGGTTCTTGGCCTTTTGACAGGAAAGAAGAGGAGTTAGTACAGGCTGTGGGATGGGTAGCTTTGCGCAATCACATTATAAAGTAGTAGTGAAACCAAAGAAGCATGTTAATGCATATTTCATTTTTATGGAAGAGTTTAGGAAGCAGATTAAGGAGAAGTCTGTGGCCACTATTGGTAAAGTTGGTGGTGAGAAATGAAAAATGATATGAAAGCTGAGAAAGCTCCTTTTGTGGAATTGGCACTTTAGGTCTTTGAATGTATTAGAGGTTTGGATATATCTTTTTACTGTTTTTGTTTGTTTTCTTTCGTTTACTTTTTTGTCATTGTAAATAGTCCCCTTGGCATTTCCTCAATACAATTTACTTTGTTGTTGATTATATATATATATATATATCCGATATGGATAAGGGATATTTAGTTCAATGCTGCCCATTTTATCCCTGAAACAAATTAAACCTAATGCCTCCACTTTTTCAAGGAGTGCAAATTTTGGCGATAACTAATGAAACAAAATGACCCAATGGAGCATAATTCCTGTCATTTATGCTTGTAGGTCAGCTGTGTACGCATGCTATCAGGGGAACGTGTCCTTACTTCTGCTCATGATGGAACTGTGAAAATGTGGGATGTAAGAACAGACACTTGTGTCGCAACTGTTGGTCGTTGCTCAAATGCTGTTCTTTGCATAGAATATGATGACTCCACAGGAATATTAGCTGCTGCTGGTCGAGATGCGTATGTGAATTTCAAATTCTAATTTTACAGTGGTGTAGATGCACTTATGAATTGAAACTTTTTGTCATGATGGCTGCTGTACATTGTAAACTTATTAGTCAAGAGCCTAACCTAAGAATGCTATCACTTGAAGGGTTGCAAATATTTGGGACATCCGTGCTGGCAGGCAGATGCACAAGCTTTTAGGCCACACAAAATGGATCCGGTGAGCTAAATGAGCATGGAAATGCTTTTTGTTCCTTGTTTTGTAATTACGGCCACTAGAAATTCAGGAGATTTTATGTTAATATGCAGGTCAATCAGAATGGTTGGAGACACATTAATTACTGGCAGTGATGATTGGACGGCACGAATGTGGTCTGTTTCTCGAGGAACATGTGATGCTGTTCTAGCTTGCCATGCTGGTTCAATTATGTCTGTTGATTACTCAGTGTCAGACAAAGGAATAATAACAGGTTGGATCTCTGCTGTTTTATTTCTGCATTGTGTCTGTTAATGTTTCTTGCAGCTTAGAAACTTCATTTTGGTAAGGGCCATCCTATGAAATAGGAGGATTGGTTTCTAAAATCTGATTGCATCTTTTCAGGTTCAACTGATGGTTTGATCCGGTTTTGGGAAAATGAGGAGGGTAAGAGCCACTAAGATCTTTGAACTGTTATATATAGAAAACTTGTTGGATCTATGTAGAATATTCACAATTCTGTATTATATGCCTCAAAATGTTGGACAGATCAGCGTAGCATACCCCTTTGTTTTCTTCTCAGAAATCCAAAGAAATCAAGTGAATGTTACGATTCATGATTTGAGACGATTTACCATTCAATATTTTAACAAAACAATTCACTTTATAAAGTGAATGTCCTGGACAAGTTTTATAATGAATACCAAAGAGTTATTAGAGTGCGAGTAATTTGAATTGCTTCTTAATGGATGATCCGTTTCTTACTTTGTGAATTCTCTTATGGATGAATCTTATATCAAAGAAACTCCTGTAGATTCAAATATTGCTATTACATCATAAAAATATCTTTTTAAAACTTTCCAGACCTTTTAAGTGTGCATCAACTTTAACTGATGTTCAGTGATGCTTTTTTGTGGATTTTTGGAATTATTTCCCACTTTCAAAGCTGAGACTTTATAATGGTTGGGGGGTGTTTTTTCCCATTTTTATTTTCGTTATCTTTTTCACATGAGATCAAACAATTTTGAAAATTTTCTTCTTAACGACTCAAGAAACTTCTAATATGGTTTCTATGCTTACTTTTGGTTTGGTACATGTAGTCTGAGTTGGCTGAAGGTTGAAACCCTCTCTACTTATAAAATTGTCATCCGTTGTGAAGCTTGCTTTATTTTTTCTTTGGTTAACTTATTATGTTGATAAATGGCTCTTTACTGTTATTGCTCATGATATGAGGACCTTGGAATGTCACCAAATCACTACCAAGTGATATGAATGCTGTGTTGGGCATAATTACAGGATGCTTTTATAAGATTTGAATTGCAGATCCAGTTTAGTTTTTGAATTTTTGTTTTTCGTATTTTTTTGTCTTTAGTGAATTTTTTTCATATTTTAGTCTTTTTTTTAAAACTTTTTAGATGCACTTGATCTAGATGCTCCAAAAATGTTTTTAAAAAATAAAATGACTAAAAATTTGACTTTTTAGATGCGCCTAAAATTTTACTTTTAAGGTGCATTTAAATAGTAAAAAATTTGACTAAAATATGAAAAAAGTTCACCAAAGGAAAAAAAATTACAGAAAAAAAAAATCAAAAACAGTTTGTGAGTTTCAAAACTAAACAAATATATTCTGTCAGTGATTAACTGATTACTGTCTCATCATTTTGACTACTTGGAATGAGGGTGATGCCCTTTTTTTTTAGGGTGGAATCGGTCTGCAAAGTGGCTAAACCTTCTTTTTTATTTATGCAGGAGGTATAAGATGTGTGAAGAATGTAACTATCCACACTGGTTCTGTATTATCTATCAATGCCGGCGAACACTGGTTAGGTATCGGAGCAGCCGATAATTCAATGTCTCTATTCAATCGGCCACAAGAGAGATTTGGTGGTGCGTCTAACACAGGATCAAAGATGGCTGGGTGGCAACTCTACAGAACACCCCAGAAAACAGTTGCAGTGGTACTTCATGCATTTTCTTTATGCTATTGAAAACTCTGCAATAAACAACTTAATTTTCATAATCATTATTGCATCTCTCACCTAAGCTGACCACGGAATTTAGTTTTTGCCTTATCCTTTCTATATTTTCTATGTTTTCGCTCATGATGAATAATTTTCCTATATGAACTTGAATATAGCCCTCCTGAACAATCTCATATGCTGTCTCATATACATACATTTATGCTATTATATAAAACACACAACTTGCTTGGTCTGAACAATTTTGTTACAAAATTTTAAAAACCCACAACAATATTATATTTTCCCCGAATATTTATCTTGCCTAACAGTTACTGTAAGGACCAAAAAGTAAAATCACTAAATCAATAGCTGCTATCCACTACACACAACTTTCTCTCTCCACTCTCACCCATAATCTGCATACACTTTCACTATATACATAATTGTTCCAGATTTGATCATTGGGAACACACAACAATTCAAAGAATAGATAATCTTAATTTAAGTTGTATGAAACCCTCAGTCAGGATGGTTTCACATGTATTAGTCAAGCCTCTAGTTTAAAATCTCTATTTACACTGCTTCCAAAATAAAACCATAAGAAATGCCATCTAATTTCTTTGTAATTATCTACAACTTATAGAATTATAATCCGAGGCTCAACAATTTGCATAGTTTAATAACATATTGTTCATTTACACTTGCAATATATCAAAAATATAACCTTATGATCTATCCACATATAACAGGAAATGCCATCGAATTTTCTTATAAGTCATAAAAAATTTGCTTGCACATTGTTCGTACTTTGCAGTGGTGATGAGACAAAGAACTATGAGGATTTGTTGGTTGTTTTTCTGTGTATATAAATGGGTTTTTTTCAATGGCTTTCAGGTACGATGTGTGGCTTCGGACCTTGAAAGGAAAAGGATTTGTAGCGGTGGTCGTAATGGGCTGCTTAGGTTGTGGGATGCCACCATCAACATCTAAATTTTTCTCGGTGTGTACTATATGTATTTGGGGTGTTGTAATCTTGTATCATGTCAAATAGCGTGTTCTATATCAAACCATAATGTATCAGAAGAATGCAGTTTTGCCTCTCTATTTTTTTGTGTTTACTTTCATTTCCATTAAAGTTGTTATGGTTGTAAACTCAAGCTACACTGCGATTTTGACTCAAATTGTTGCCCTAACATTATGGTTTGTTCGGTTGCTAAGGAAATAGAGCAAAACAAAAATGTTTTAAATTTTCTTGATACTGGAGCTATTGTTTTGCTTGTCGATCTGCTTGTCACCGGACCAAATTTGATCATTTTTGGATTATTGTTGTTATTATTATTATTATTATTTTGTTTACATTCTTTAGCCGGAAAGCTAATAAGGTTCTCTCTTTATTTTGCCAACCCAAAAATTTTTACCAGAAAATATAAGCTGTGGTTGAGATTATTTTAGATGGAGGTGCCACCACCCGAGAATTAAATCTAGGCCATATATAAATTTTCTGGGTAAAATTCCGAGTTTGGATTCTGATTCCGTAGTTTATTTTTTTTTTTTTTTTTTTTTTTTTTTTTTTTGCGATCTTGCCTTTTGTACTTGCACTGGACTTTCATCTGCGCTTTATATACTAGGGGCTTGTTCCTCTATTTATATACTAAGGGCTCATTCGCCGTTTTTGGTTGAATTTTTAGATTTTGTTAAAACACAAGAAGAAAGGAAAAAAAATTAGTTTGACGAAAATAAACCCCATTTATGAAAATATTGATTTTTAACCATGGCCAGTTTTCTGATGGTGGCTTTCACATGCTTGCTCAATCAGATGACTCCAGTTAATGAATCCAGTTTCATTTGGTGTTTTTTGTGGTTGTTTATCTCCAGATCTAGTTTTTCTTTGTATTCTTTGTTGGACTCTTATTTATTTTTTTTTTTGATAACGCAGGTATCCCCAACCTTCTAGTTTTTCGGGAAGTCAGGACTAATCCTGCGGGGTAAGTAGCCCGGAGGAAGCTGTGTACCCCTTTCAAACTGCTGCAAGCACTCACCCAGTGAGGAATCGAACCCGTGACCGTGCACCTTATCCACACAATTGGTTTTTTGGTGTTTGGCAACTTCCAATAGTTAAAGAGAAAAGGAAAGAAAAAAGAAACAATTTTTTTTCTTCATAAATTCATTTTATTTATTTTTTTATGAATTTAATATTTTAATATGATCAAAGTACGTAATTCTTTTCCAACATTAAAATATAATACTAGTATTGTCCGATTCGATCTAACTCAAATTAGAAGTTTGTTCGTTTGATTTCTAAATAAAAAAGCACCTCCTCAATAGAGATGTCACGCAACTTCTTATAAATCCATCATGAGTATCATCCAAAACCGATGTGAGATGCCAACATCCTCACCTCAGTCTAAATACTAGCATAATAGAGATTATGTCATATTTATGCGCCTCTTCGATTAAAAAAATAAAAAACAAGCATAACACAACATGTATATATAAGAACACAAGTGGAAATTATAAATTACAATTGAGAAAAAAAGGCACAACTTTTCCAATTCAATCAAATTTTGTGATCAACCCATCATGGTTTGGTTCATTGGTGCCACCATTGCAACCTCCTGCTGCTGCTGCTGCTGCTGATGCTGCCTAGCCACGTTTCCAAGCCATGCTATAAAAACAAAACATAATATTCAACTCAAACTTTTTGCTTATTACTATCATTCATTCTATAAAAAGAAAATGAAAAAGCAATACCATATATTTAGAATTTTATTTAAAAATATCAATGTATGTGTATAAATTCCACAATATATCTTTTAAATCTCTTGATTGAACACAATTTCAATTTCATGGTAGTTTTCTTGTCATGTTTTATGGGTATAATTTCTCTTACAACAATCTTACAACAATGTTACATACAACAATATATTTAAGGGGTACGTACGTGTAGGTCCTAATAAGTAGATTTATTGTCTAATAGGTCCTATAAGAAAAAATTGTCATAAAAAAATGTCATCAATTGTAAGTTTTAGCGACAATTTATAAAAATCATGACAAAAAAAGTCACTAATTGTCAATTTTTAGTGACATATATAAAAAAAATTGTCACAAAAAAATTATTTTTAGCGACAATTTTGCCAAGACTTATTTTTAATAGGACTTGATGAAAATTAAGTCCAACTATTAGGACCTATTGGTAGTTTATCCTATATTTAGAAGCTTTTTAGTCGTTTGGCAATAGTTTCGAGTTGTTTTCGTGATACATTTTTCATTGTCTCTAGCAATTTTATTTCGCTTAATGAGCTCAAATAAATTTTTTGTATCAAATTTCGGGTCAAACAAGATTACCAAATATCTTCACTAAGGTAACCTCTCCATTATATGGTTATAATGAAACGATTTATTATTAATGGTTGTGAAAAAGTTTCACCAACATATTTTTACTTCAAATTTTAAAAAATAAGGGACAAGTTAAAATTTATGAGAATATGTAAATTTTTTATTTTCTGATTTTTAAAAATTAATTATAAATATACATATATATATATATATATATATGACTTACCAATAGAAGGGTCCAAGCCCCTATGCTGAAGCTCCCTATATTCTTGACAAAGAGCACAATGCTCACAGAAGAAGTGAGTTATCCAGTCCGGAGCCGGCGACTACACCAGCCCATATCGGCTTCTCAGCTTACTTCGGTAGCCGCATGATATCAGACGTGGCATTCCGATGACGCAAGCAATTAATCCATACAACATCCCACTTGTCGCACATGCTATATTTACACAAACATACAATTTACAAACAACAACAATAATACTCCATTAAAAAATGCTTAGTAATTTGAATTTATATGATTCGAATGTCTCAAAATATCAAGGCGATGCCTTTTTATTTTCAAAATGACGTCGTTTTGAGACATTCGAACTACTCAGGCCATAAAAATTCGAATTATCAAACATTATTGTACCCCATTATTAGACAAAAGAAAAAGATTAAAATTTTGAAAATATTTTTTATTTCACACATATTTTTTTATTCACGTAATATAATTATATGAAAAATTTAAAATATATGTATATAATATACTATTCTTCATTTTTTCCATATCAATTATCTCTTTTTTTAATAATTAACAATTGACTATAATCGATTAAAAAAAAAATCTCTCTTTTATATGGATTAAAGTATGAGTCATCTTGATTTTTTAATTATGTTAATTTGATTCCTACTCATCCTTATCCAATTTGAATTTAAATGATTCATTCTTCAAACTTTATAATGAAAACAAGGGGTGTTTTTTTTTTTTTTTTTTGGTTGGGAATTTGTGTTAAAGCTATTTAAACACAAATTGAATAAATTGATAACTAATAAATTAACACAATTAAACTATTAAAAATTAAAATGAAACAAAAAGTGCATATAGCCCCATGATATATTTAACCCTATAAATAATAGGGAGGATTGGAGGGCATTGTTCAGACTTATTATAGCGATTTCGGTTTTCTCTTCTTGGTTTATTGTATTCCGAACTCGGGTCCGTGGATGTTAGTTGTTGTCGTATTCTCGTTTCCATCCTTTACTCTTTATATTTGAATCTTGGGTTGTATTGGGCAGATTTGAAACAGGTTGGTTGCGTTTGGAAACCAAGAGTTGATGTCCAGATTTTGGCCTTCACGCTCGAGCGGGGCTTTTCACGCTTGAGCGGGCCCTTTGCTTTTGTTTCTCCGCTCGAGCGGGGAGTTTAATGCTCGAGCGGGATTATTCATCTCTCAGTATTTTTCCCTGCAGGTCATCAGACGCTCGAGCGTCCACTTTCACGCTCAAGCGAGGACTTTCGTCTGCAGAACTTCTGGAAGTGTGTATTCGACGCTCGAGCGGCGCTTTTGACGCTCGAGCGTGAGTCTGTGTCTGACGCTCGAGCAGGGCGTTCCATGCTTGAGCGGACTGTATATTATATCAGTCCAAGATGTAGCTTTTTGGATCACTTTTTCGACTTTCTCTCTCTCTCTCTCTCTCTAACTTTTCAAAGACCTCATTTGAGAACTCCTCTCTCTAGAATTCACATTCTCTCTTCGAAATCATCTAGTTTTAGTGATCTTCCACCCTAGTCCCTTTGTAAAAAGTGTGGAGCTTGGTGTGGGCTACATTTTGTTCCGAAAATCTTTGGGTTTGGAGCACCTTCAAATTTCTTCATCATCTCCTTTGAGCTCCGAAATTTGAGGTAGGGATTACTACTCATATTTATGGTCTTTGACATAAACTTGTAGTCATTTGGATTAAATGTTTAATTTGGGCAATTTTGGGTGTTAGGGTTTCAAAATGCATAAAGATGGGTTTTGTTCTTTTGACCCATACATGTGTATTTTGGGTCTTAAAATGAGGTTATTGATGATATTTGGACCTTTGGGTCAATGTTGAGAAAAATGGAGAGAAAAGCCCTAATTTGTTGTTATAAATTAATTTGTATAATTAATTTGGGAATGTTATGAAAACATGAAATTGAATTGGAAATAATGAAATTGGGTAATTATGAGATTTAATGATGGAGTTTGATTTATTAATCACTCACATTTGACATTGTGAATAATTTATCTGTTGATAATTTATTACATGTTTAGAAATAAATGTTTTAGGCTATCGGTGGAGGATAGTCTTGATTGTTGTAGACATTGCATGATGACTAGGTGAATTATAACTAATCAATTGAGTATGTCATTGAATATGACGGAAGGAATAACACATTGAATATGTGATTTGCTTGATCATTGTATATGATAAGTGTTTAAATACATTGTATATGTATGTTGTTTGGGAGAAAATAGGGGATGCACTCCAAGATTTGGGAGGAGATAGGGGATACACGCCACAATTTGGGAGGAGATAGGGGATGTACTCCACGGTTTGGAAGGAGATGGGGGATGGACTCCTAAACCGGATTTGGGAGGAGATAGGGGATGGACTCCAGTGATAACTAAGTTGGCCGGAGTGTCCAGGGTGAAAGTCCCGAAATTTGAATTACGTTTGTATAACGTAGATGATTGAAGTATTGGAATGATGATGATTTGAGTTGTAATCTCATTTGAAATGGAAGTGTTGATGTGTTAACTATGTGAGTAATAGTCTCATCTGAAATTGAATCATTGAAGTATCGTTAGTATGAGTTGTAGGCGCATCATGAACTATTTGGCTTAATAAGGAACCATATCTATGAATTGGTTTGGATGATAAAATGGAAAGAGATATATGTTTGTTT